ACTCCAAAACAGATTAATTTACAACTTTTTTATTATATAAAATAGCCTCTAAACAAAATTTAGCTGATTTTGTTTATATGTATCAAGCAACAAGAAAAATGAAACACACATATACAGAGATGATATAAGTGGTGACGACACGAAGCTGTACTCGTTCACATCTATGAATTCAAATGGTTTCCAATGTGAAATTTAATTACATTCAATTAAGCTAAAATAATCAAATATGTAAAATACAGTATATGCAGTTAAAGCAATGCAAAACTCTTTAAAATCAGCTGTTCCATATAAAGGAATTTCCCTGGACGTACAAGAAAAAGGCGCTGTCTCTCCACACCCCTCACACTGGAGTTTCTGAAAGAGATTTAGAAGTTTCAAATAAAACTTCAATTAAAAATGTAATGCCAGAATTGTTTAATGTCTACAGGTCTCCTCAGGTGAAAATCTCCAAGTATACAAATTCTGAGTTAGATGCTTATTTTTTAAAGACTGGGACAGATTTTAAAAGTATTTTATATATGTAAAAACACTCCCTGGGGCCGGGCGTGGTGGCTCAAGCCTGTAATCCCAGCACTTTGGGAGGCCGAGGCGGGTGGATCACGAGGTCAAGAGATCGAGACCATCCTGGTCAACATGGTGAAACCCCGTCTCTACTAAAAATACAAAAAATTAGCTGGGCATGGTGGTGCGTGCCTGTAATCCCAGCTACTCAGGAGGCTGAGGCAGGAGAATTGCCTGAACCCAGGAGGCGGAGGTTGCGGTGAGCCGAGATCACGTCATTGCACTCCAGCCTGGGTAACAAGAGCGAAACTCCGTCTCAAAAAAAAAAAACAACACTCCCTGGAATTATATAATTATACCTACCACAATAAAATTATTTGCTGAAGTTTATTAACCATACAACTCTGGTATTCCTTTCTTAAAGGTTCAAAGAATTCGGTTTGTGGCAAATTTGGTTTGCACATTTAAATTGCCAACTTATTTGCAACATATTTCTTAACTTTCTACGAGCCTTCAAAATTAGCTCTTCTAGAATATAAACAGTGAATCAACAGAAGAAAAAGTGCTAACCTCCTAAACAGAAAAAAGCATGCAAAATAAAATACAATGAAGCCCGATTTTAACCTATCGAATTAAACATCATAATTAAAAAGATGACAGAAATGTGATGAGATCAGCTTCCAAAAAGCAATCTTGCACTATTTACCAAGTGACTTTGGAGCTGTGAATCTACTCCCCTGGAGCCTATTGTGAGTAAGTAATTAGAGATGTGATCAAAGTTATCTTCACTTTTCAGTAACAACAAAAAAAAAATTAAAAATAAACCTAAGGATACTAGTATGGGAGGAGACTTTAAAAATACTATGGTATATCCACATTAACAAAGGTTATAAAGCCATAAAACACATTTTACAAAAACATTAAATAAAAAAGGAAAAGAACTCACAATAGAATATTCAGTAGAAAAAATATGTCAGATTAATTCAGAAAAATGTATTTTTTTCTCAAATTTCTTTTCACCGTTTAAAATTAAAAAAAATGCATATATAGGATATATAAATTCATGGTTACTATAAATATTAAAATAGTAGTGTCTTCCTTTGGTTGGGGCATTATAGATGATTTTAATTTTTATTATTGTTTTCAACTTCCCAATATTTTTCCTTTTTAAAAATAACGGTTGGGTCTCACTTTTATAAGTTGAAAAAAAATGTGACTAGAAAAAGGCATCTCCAGGACATGAGAAAAAGCTAAATGGTACAGGCAATACAAATGAAAATGCACACACATGGCAGGACGCTCCCTGTTGGCACACACTGTCTGGTATTGAACAGCACCAAGCCCACCAAAGCTTTATAATGGGGCTTATTTTTAAGACGGAACCTTGTAGAGCAAGATGATTTGGATGTCCTGATCTTATGAAGTACTACTCAATGTGGTTTCATAAAGGCCAAAACAACGTACACTAGTCAACCAGCTTCATGTCCTATTTTCATTTCTTTGGTATGAAGTTGACCCTTGAACAACATGGGTTTGAACTACATGTGTCCACTTATACACACATATTTTCTTCCACCTTGGTGAACCTGACACTGTAAGACCAACCCCTTCTCTTTCTCTTCCTCAGCCTATTCCACATGAAGATGAAGAGGATGAAAACCTTTATAACGATTATTCACTGCTACTTTATGAATAGTTAATGCATTTTCTCTTCCTAATATTTGTCCTAATAACATTCCTTTTTCTCCAGCTTACAACATTACAAGAATACAGTATGCAAAAGATACACAAATTGATGCACTGTTTATGTTATTCACAAAGCTCCCAGCTAACAGTAGGCTACTAGTAGTTATGTCTTGAGGTAGTCAACAGTTATACTTAGATTTTCAACTACACAGGGGTTGGCACCCCAACCTCTGAGTTGCTTAAGGGTCAACTGTATTATCATGAGACCCGTTTTATTCTTGAAGATGCGTGCTGCTAGACCAGAAAACATTTTGGATTTAGAATGAGAAAATGTAATTTTTGAGTCCTGCCTTGCTGTGCTACTTCCAGGTCAAATCCTTGACCTCTCTGAGTATCTTCCCCTGTGAAGATTATGGAGCTGATAATACTAGCCCTGATTTCTTCCCAGGATTATCTGCACCAAATACAATTGTATGTATAAAATCATTCTAGCTTCAAATGTCATTGATCATTAAATTTTAATAACCCCCTAAAAACATTTATTTGTCTCCTGTTCCTACATTAATACTAATTTATCTCTACATTCCAAGGTGATAAACAGGTGAAGGGAATGATGCTTTTCCTGACAGAAGTACCAATAAGAAAGCGGAAGGAAATATACTCGGAAGAAACACTTGGCCAACCCCTGGCTTAAACCAGAGGAGTATGAGAGGAGGTCCACGCCCAGTGACATGAGGATGCCCAGCGACATGAGGTCCCCCTACTAGAGACCCTCATCTTCAAGTGCAGAAACAGAGAGAGAATGGATAAGCCATCCACTGTGACCTGTGACCTGTACCCTGTGATTTTCCTGGGATTGATGCCTCTAGAATTATTTGTCATTTGGAGGGAAACTATAATAAACAGTGGCAGTCAGCAGGCCTTTCCCTTTGATACCAGGAATATATTTTACTTGGTTGGAATCATGAAATTAATAAATTCGCAAACAGATTCACAAATTAATAAAATTAATCATCTAAATCTAGTTTACTGTCTATTTATTTTAAACGCAACTGAATTTCAAAATATTCAAGATGGTCAATTAAAAATAATCCAAATTCTGAGTGGAAAAAAGCCTACCATTTATACTGCTACATCTCCAGATCCTTTATATTATCTTGCTCTCAAAATGATCTGGACAAAGACTAGGAGGGATATGAAAAAATATTTTTTTAATATTCATTTAATTCTACTTCTTAATGATATAAAGTGAAGCAACAGACAGTTCCTACTTAGTACTGCAAAAAACCTAGAGAAACCAAATTTGTTGCTTCTTTTACATGCAATTTCTAATAATTTCATATATTTTAAAATGATAAAATTTCTCCAATAAATATATTCATGTCATTATATAAAAACAAAGTGGGGCCAGGCGCGGTGGCTCAAGCCTGTAATCCCAGCACTTTAGGAGGCTGAGGCGGGTGGATCACGAGGTCAAGAGATCGAGACCACCCTGGTCAACACGGTGAAACCCCGTCTCTACTAAAAATACAAAAAATTAGCTGGGCATGGTGGCGTGTGCCTGTACTCCAGCTACTCAGGAGGCTGAGGCAGGAGAATTGCCTGAACCTAGGAGGCAGAGGTTGCGGTGAGCTGAGATCGCACCATTGCACTCCAGCCTGGGTAACAAGAGCGAAACTCCGTCTTAAAAAAAAACCCCCCCCAAAGTGGCCACCATCTACAAATAGCCACTTTTTACTGCAAGATAGCACCTTGCAATTGTTAACACAAAAGTTTCTGGAAATAAACTAGACGTTTGACCCCAAAGGCTTAAGTCACAACATTTCTCATCAGAATGATTAATCTTTACGAAAAGGCAGGAAAACAAGACAGGGCCGCCCACTTTGACATTTTCATTCTTTGAAAAAAAATCCCAATGTAGTTCATGAACTGGAGCCACCATTTATAAAAAGTATGTAATCCAGAATACATGTTGATTATAAGATTAACCAGATCATTATCGTTCTTACTCTTTGCACTGAGAAAAATGTACTGACATTAAAAAGTGGTACTAGCACAGTTTTACTGAGAAATCTGATAAACCTTTGCCCAGGAACCAACCAACCTTAATAACAAGATTACTTCATTTTTTCCTTTTCTGCTTAGTTGAAAAAAATATAAACAATAAAGTCTAACATTAAAAAGAAAACTCACTCCATTAATTTCTACAAGACTCGCTTTTGCCCAACCTTTCCGCATGCAGTGATTAGAGAGTGGGGAGGATGTATTTTTCAGGTAGGATGCAGAGCATCCTACAGCTGCATAAGCCGGTGTGTGTGTGCATGCGTGCATGCGCACAGCAGCAAAGCAAAAGCATCCTTAAGGTCATACAGAAAGGGAGAGAGGAAGGAGAGGAGTGAATAGCAGGAAAAGGTTTTTCTGCAGGCTCAGGGAGTTTGCTGCTGGCTGTATCTAATGCATTCACCTAAAAGGAGTCAAATATGAGATAATTCTGAAATATCTCAGTTTGCTGCCTTTCTCTCCTTATTTTCTTCCCTCACTTTTGAACAGCTCAGACGTGGAGTAAACCAGCTCTAACCTTGAGGAAGCTTTGCTCCAGAGAAAAGAGAAGGGTATTAACAATTCGAGGTGAACCAAGGGAAGGAAGGGAATCATCCAAGATGGAGTAGGGTGAAGGTGGGGAAGGAGTGTGGGTATGAAGGTGGCATGCAGAGGGAATGGGCTCTGACAGCAGAATAACACAGGCTAGGAAACAGCTTGGAAACTGAGCTGGCAAAACCACCGACTTATGCATTTTACATGAACTCACTTACCTGTGTTATTTTTTCTATTCCCTGGAAGTTGTGCTTTTCAAAATGTTCTGCAATATTTAGGAAAGTGTGACGTTCTAGATAACAGCAATTACTTAGGACTATCAAAAGGCGCTGTTCCTAAAAGCAAAACAGTTTTTTAGAAAATCACATTTATAGTGACAGAATAACTGATTAACACTTGTCAGGTTTAATCACAGTCTCTGCTCTTTAACATCAATATTCAATGCTTTGATTTTCTTGACTGCTTCTTTCCCAATATTATAACATAAACATAATAAAATCCTGCAATTCTACTATTTGCTTATAATTACATAATACACCAAAGAATCAAATATTTCTTTTAAAACTTAGCAGGTTGTATGAAAAAACAGATTGATAAAATCCCATTAACTAGGATCAGGTGGAACTGGGATCAGTGTTTCTTATGAAAAGGATTCTACTTTATTGTTTACTTAATACTTTGTGTACAAGAAAAAGCTATAGGAATAAATATTTTAAATAACTAATTACATTTAAAATGTAGAAACTATTGTAAAAAAGTTTATAAATTTTGTGCAACCTGGAAGAGAATTACATAGCCATACATCTGTATGATGGGCTCCTTCAACTATCTTAGGCCATTAGGAATTGTGTTTGCAGAAGAAAACAAGGAATCATCTCCCTCTAATGGGGAGTGAGGGTCACTGAGAGAGGACCCCGCCTTAGGAAGTAGTCAGTGTAGACAAGAGGAAGAGGTACAAGCCAGTCACTTCTACATTCTCCAAGGTTCTGTCCACCTAAAGTAATTTCTTGCAAAAATTACCACATGCAAATGCTGATAAACAAAGTATCCTTTTACAGTTCAGAAGAACTACTTGGTAAATAAAATTCCAGGAATGGCCCTATGTTGCTGGTGTGGTTCACCAAGGCACCTGGCCTGTGCTCCCGAGGGTGGGTGGGCCTTCTCTGGAACAACTTTGACTAATCTAGGGCCTTGACTTAGATTCTTCAACTAAACCTACAGCAGAAACCACTTTCCATCACATACTTTGTATGCTCTCTCTGTGTATAATCAGAATAACTTACAGTAATTTGATATAGTAAATGTGGAAAGAGGTTCCTATTTTTTGAGATATGTGGAAAAATGGTAACTATAAGTCCTTGAATTTACTTGCCAATCATCTTTTACATTTCCCAATAATTTCATTTAGTACAATAATTTCTAAAAACCTTCTAGATTCCTTTATTCAAAATGTTCCCTTCTTTATTTCTGGCAGAGTGTAGCCTATTCACTACCTGTTTTTGGTCATCAACAAATATAAGTAAAAGGCCGAGGAATTATCAAGACGTTCAAATAAGTGAGTGGCCTTGAATTACTCTATGGATAGGAAATGGTGCATAAGACAAGGTAAACAGGGTTGTATTATGTATAACACTCCTCCATGTTTTGTGAATAAATGTCAAGAAGGATAACAGTGAATAGCCACTGGAAACTCGCCCAAGTGAGGTGGGGACGAGGAGGCAGCATTCCCCTCCGGTCCCCAGGCCTGGAGTTACCATTACACAGTCCCTGTAAGGATAAGGAGTAAGTAAACATGACATTTCATCAGCTACTCCCAACATGCTGTTTGCCTCAAAAACCTCAGCTAGTTGTTCAGTTTTGAAGATCAATCCTTAATTACTTTTTCCTTCCAGAGTCAAGCCTCCTTATCTATCGAGCTAGGCCTGCCACACCTTCTCTGCCCTGTTAATTCTCTTTGTTTTTCCCATTGTAATCTATGAGGCTCTTAAAAAACAGAAAAGCTATTTGAGTCATTTAAAATCTTACTCCTGTAAGTACATTTGTTGCTCAAATCTAAATTAAGATGCAATAAAAGTGGAAAGAAAAACTGAACAACACAGATTCTCAACTGTGGATGACTAATCAAAAGCTTATTAACAACTAAGATGGAGAGGTACACAACAACTCCACCTATCAAACGCAGCACGTGCAGGTGACAGAAGACAGTCTTCCGCTATATCAGTGATTCCTCACAGCATCTCTGTGATGCAGGCGTCACCAGCAGTTTTGTTCAGGAGAACACAGGGCCTGCGCCTGCTCAGTGATATGCCCGAGGTTACACAGGATGCCAACCAGTGTCTTCTGACTCTGAATCTAGGTGTCTTTCTTATCATAGCTGCTTCCCTTCTGGATAACAGAACAAGACCCTAAGAAGATCTCACCAAATCTCATGAGATAGCTTCCAATGGAGAATACAGAGGAACTGAATTTGGTCACAAAAGAACACTGGAGAGTAGCAGGAGAGAGGCCCTGCAACCTGCAGAGGCACATGTGAGGTGCCTAGGGGAACAGGTGAGAATAGGCTCAATGTGACTCAGCAGACAGCTGCAGCCTCATGGGTCACAGGGCATCCAGGGCTGACTCCTGTTGCTCCACCCAATGGAAGAGGTACAGGAGCAGGAACATGCCACACCAGCAGCGAGAGCCTGAGGATTCAGGGTGCCAGTGAGGGGAAGACTTGCCATCTCCATTTGGGAGGCCCTCTCCTGCAGCCCTGTCTCCCCAGGACTCCCCCAGCCCTCTGCATTTCCATTCTCCTCAAGCCCTTCAGCCCTTGAGGCTGCAAAGCTTTCCTTTGTTTAAATGTGATTTTCCATCTCTCTCAGGAGTGCTGCTCTATCTGGATTTCCTTCTATACCTCTGATTAACCCTTTTTAGGGTACATTGAGGCTCTGCAACTGGTGAGCCCATAAATAATGGCACCCTCAACCTTATTTTTATATATTTGGCCCTTCTCTCATTCATCAAGTGTAGGGCTCCCCTAGATTTCTCTCCGTGCCCTATCAGGGGAGCACAGAGTGCCTTGATGGCTCTGACTGGGCCAGTTGCCTGTTTTTCCCTGCAGGCTTGTACCCAAGTGGGGGCCCTGACCTCCCAGGCACTGATGAAGCTCTTTAGACTGTAGCCTGAAAATACTGGGAGACCATGTTGCTAAATAGCAGAAATCAGCCCTGGCCTGAACCAAATGCTTTAAACCCTCTTATAAACTCCATGCCCAGACCCCTTCATTGCTGACATACCTAGGCAGGTCATCCTCCATTGCTGTTCCTGGCAAGGACTCAGTGCAGCCCCCTCTGTGTGTTGTTCCCTAATACTTTGCACTGATCACCCTGAATTTCATGCTTGTTTCTTTGGAACGCCAACTGACCCCATCTTAAGATGGTTTGGGACAGTCCCTGGCAGGAACTCCACTGCTACCACTCTTGGGGAGATTCTGCCTGCAAGTCTGGCTGAACAGAAGAAGGAGCATTTTTCTTACTCCCAGGCCTTATATTGCTTAAGTACTGCTGTTTCACAAATCTGTATCTAGATTTCTCTCCTGGGATCCAAACAAGGACATTTAATCACCCACTTGGTATCTACATGTATGTCACCCATTCAACAAAACTGGTCCCATCTGAATTTTTTTTTTTTTTTTTTTTGAGAGGGAGTCTTGTTCTGTTGCTAGGCTGGAGTGCAATGGTGTGACCTCCACTTACTGCAGCCTCCGCCCCCTGGGTTCAAGTTCTCCTGCCTCAGCCTCCTGAGTAGGAGCCTGTAATCAGCCTCGATTACAGGCGAGCACCACCACGCCTGGCTAATTTTTTGTATTTCTGGTAAAGATGGGGTTTCACCATATTGGCCAGGCTGGTCTTGAATTCCTAACCTTATGATCTACCTGCCTTGGCCTCCCAAAGTGCTAGGATTACAGGTGTGAGCCACTGCGCCCGCCCCCCAAGCAGAATTTTTAATCTTTCTCTTGAACCTGTATTTTCCCTGATTTCTCTATCTCAGTGAATTTCTCTCTCCCTGATTTCTCTATCTCTATCTCATTCTTCACCTAGTCATCCAAAAAATTCAATCTAGAATAAATTTTGAGATTACTTTGACCAAACTATATTTTTCGAATACACCAAACCCCTTATTTAGGTATTCATACTTATAATGACCAGGGAAATGACATATGGTAGAATTTGGGTCAAACAGTTTTTCCTTGAGACAGCCAGCCAGGCATGTGTGCATGCACGCGTGCACACAGACACACACACACACACACACACACACACACATGCATACACCCATACACCCTTCAAACTCATGACAATTATTATTTATAATTATTTATTTGTAATATTTATAGTTATTTACAAAATTATTATTTATAATAACCAGTGAGGGTTATTTATAATAATTATTATTTTTTGAGATGGAGTCTCACTCTGTCATCCAGGCTTGAGTACAGTGATGCCATCTTGGCTCACGGCAACCTCCACCTCTTGGGCTGAAGTGATTCTCCTGCCTTAGCCTCCCAAATAGCTGGGATTACAGGCACCCGACACCACACCCAGCTAATTTTTGTATTTTTAGCAGAGATGGGGTTTCACCATATTGGACAGGCTGATCTCAAACTCCTATCCTCAAGTGATCTACCTGCCTTGGCCTCCCAAAGTGCTGGGATTACAGGAGAGAGCCACTGCCACCAGCCAGAAAGGGTTATTTCATTTATGATAGCTGGAGTTAGAATTTCAACAGATGAATTTATCTATGTCATAAGTTTGTGAATCTCCTCAATCTCCTTAAATACACATATACATCTTAAAAAGTATGTGTGTATATGTACATATGTATATATGCAGTATATGTGTGTATACATCCCTTTGTGTATAAGTGTGTATGTGTGTGTGTGCATGTGTATTTCAGGCTATGTTCAAATAAAATGCTATTAGGCAACTTATAGAAATAAAACAGAGAAAAGTAGAACTTCTCCCATTGAAGAGGCAAGAGCTGTTGGAGGGAACGGGTGCCCTTGTCCTCTGCCTTCTCCCCAACACATCACGGCAACTCTCAAGCACCAGGGAACTACAAGGGCACCTATTTAACATTCAGAAACCACAAAGATGCAGATAGTACGTGGAATGACTGAAATCACAACTCCAGCTAAAAATGTTAAGTGCAAAAATTCAGATTCATTATACTTTCCAGAAAATTTCATATAATATAGCTCCAAAGCACAGCACAGTGTCCTATACCATATGCTACAGCAATGATGCAGGAACAAAGTAATTCGATTTGTGAAATCGCTGTTACACGGTTTTAAAATGATTTACTTTCTAGTTATTGTCTGACTTACAGAGGTCAAGCTGAAGTCTTCGTGGATACTTCCAAACAAATCAGGGGAAGAAACATCAACAGAGAGACTGAACACAGAAGCAAGTACAGTTAGAAATAAAGCACTCATTTAAAAAATGCAATAAGCTCTATGCAAATTTAAAAATGCAATGAATTGTATGTAAAATATTTAGTGAAAGTCACATAACTTTAAGTGTTTTAGAGACTTAACAGTTAACAACTCAAAGAAGGTATTATGGCTACATGAAATTTAATCCACAATATTAAGGATCTGTCTAACAACATAAATTCCTGGTGAAATAATGAGCTAAAAATATAAAATCAAATCAAATTAAACCTAGAAGAATTAAAACCTTATTGGGTCCCTAAGGAGGTGATAAGTTTTATGTACTGAAAAGCAAAAGCCAAAACCAGTAAATAGACAAACATGGGTAAATTTCCAAATTGTCAACTGAAGATATAAGAGACATTTGTTTCAGTATTATCTGTTTCAGAGCATAACTCTTAGGTACACAGAAGTTACATATGCCAAGTATAATTCAGAAATAACAGATTTCTTAAAAAAAGCAGCACTTTACAATGGTGTCCTATAGAACAGTTATAAAATAACTACCGCATGGATTTTGTAAACATCAAGAGTTAAGATGTGTCCACTAGAGCTCCAATAACTAAGCTTGACCCAGACATAATTCTACCAACATGCTTAGTTTCTAACGAGAGTAACAGTACCTTCCCCTAATGCCAGAATCATAAAAATAATCAATTAGGAGTTATAAATTTACATTTAATACTTTATTATTTATAAAACCTGTTCTTTGGATAATTAATAAGCTAATTATGTCTTCAATTTGCTCGATATGTCTCTAATAAAGCAAAGATGAATTAAAAGCTAAATATGGAAATAATATAGGTCAAATATAAAAAACAACTATTACTTTAATATGAACAATCTTTCTTTCTTACTAGAAGTCTTAGGATATAAGACCAAGTATAAAACTTAAGTTTGTATTTTTAATTCTCCTAAATGCATTAATGAGATTAATTTGATTTTTACTTACTGTGTAGTATCTATGTCTGCATCAGGTTTGGTGCTCAACTGTTCCAGACAGTATATAAAAACCTAAGTGAAAAAGTAAGTTTCAGAATTCTCAGAGGAATGAACTCCTGGATAACTTTACATAAAGTAGAATTACATATCCCATAAGTGGTGTGGTGTTGTGTGCATATATGAATACGTGTATATATTGTATATGCTCCATTAATGACAGAAATATATATCCCATCCGTATCTATCACATAAGTAATAGAAAATTAGAAGTGACTATGTTTTGATCAATTATTAAGTTTGTAAAGATATTTTAGGAAAAACACTTTTTCTCATTCACTCATCCACATTCTCAACTTTATGTGCCTGCAAAGCACTGGTCCCAATAAAAATACTTCACATAGATATAATGTGAATAACTAATTATCATTTCATTTACACTGTGCTCTAACAGAATACATATAAAGTACCAAAAAAACGGAAAAGAGGGGAGCATAACATAAATGAAACATTTGGGTATTGCTAAAACAAGTCCAAATTAATCTTACATTAACCTTTGTTACCCTACTTACCCTAAACTATTACGTATACAAACAAGATGAAAAAAAAATACATATTTAGTGTACGTCATCGGCAGATTAAAAATAGGAGAGGGGTCGACTGATACTTAGTATCATTTGAGGCTTTGGGCATTACTGCTTTCAATTATTACCTGCATGATATTGATGCTTAGTTGGCAAACCTCCTCCTGTGTTTTAGGTTGTTGAAAGACCTGTAAAGAAGAATTTTGATTAAAATTTTTGGACTTTGCTAAGAAAACAAGGCTTTTTGTGTATGAAGTTAGATAAAAACAGTTAAGCCTGGCAAAAATGGTGAAACTCTATCTCTACTAAAAATATAAAAAACTAGCTGGGCATGGAGACACACACCTGTAATACCAGATACTTGGGAGGCTGAGGCGGAGAATTGCTTAAAGTGGAGGTTGCAGTGAGCCAAGATCATGCCACTGCACTCCAGCCTGGGTGACAGACCAAGACTCTGTCTCAAAACAAAACAAAACAAAACAAAACAACTGTTAAAACGTGGAACACTGCTTCAGGAGTGGTGTCCTTACTCTAAAAAGGAACATGAGAGAAGAGTTGGCCCAATGGTGTTTTTCCTCATTGTGGTGACTCGGGCTTGAGAAGACAATGCCATGCTGGGCTGATGGTCAAGATTCAGCCTCCTTATTCACTATCCAAAAAGTGCTATCACTGTAACTGCTCTACCTACAACACACGCACTCACATTTTAACTTTCATCAGCCTGTCTTAGAATCAGAAATCAGCATACCTACATAAACTACATGGAACAAGCAAGCAAAGAGAGAGAAAAAACCTTGCAATGCAGAGTCAAAAATGTACAACTATGATTCCCATGGGCTCCCTGGGAAACTGTGGAGTCAAAGCGGAACTGGAATACTTACACTGGCCTCTCCTGGCTTGCACTCCAGAACACCCTTCAGTGACTGTAGAGAACGCACGATGCACTGTTCAAACTGACATGGCTGAAGGGAAAACAGCATATCATAAAATTCAAAAGCAAGCTCTGGCTACTAACACATATTTCACAGAAGTGAATATGACCCCAAACTCTAAATTTTCCTGATTAATGGAAAGGAACAGAAACACAATCTGAAAAGTAATCTCCTAGTCATTGAGTTTTAGGTTTGGCATATGTTTTATACTTTATATTTTAGAATGAATCAATCTTGAGACTCTAAAGTATATCTAATTCAACTAAAACTCAAATAGAACTAAAAATTATCTTCAAAATTTTACTCTTCTAAGAGGCTGATATACAACGAGGAACAGATATAATGAGTTTACATTTTGAATGCTATTTCTGAGGTACATTCTGGGATGAGCTCAGTCTCTTAGATCTTCCACATCTCTGGAACTGTTAAGCAAAATTTAATGTTAATAATAATGATCTAGAGATGTACAGGATCTTCATATTAGAGAGATTGTAAATATTCATTTTCTATCTACAGCAAGTCAGAAAATGAAACTTGAAAATATGTCCAACCAATGACATTTCAAGATAAGCTAGAACAAATCTTAACATCTTAGCTCCCTAAGGGTGTTTAAGTTTTGAGTTTGTGCCAGGACCTACTCTAGGTAAGAAAGATAAAGGAATAAGTAAGACAGCCTTCTCATTATGTGTATACTTCAGGCAGGAGAAATTACCAGAAAAGTCACAGTTGACAAAATGATTAAAAAAAGGTACAGAAATAAAATAATTGATATAATAAGCATCAAGAATAAAAGAAGTGGAACTCAGAATAACAATCATTATGGGGGATCTGCTCTAAATAGGACAGTCACAGAAGGCCCCCAAGACTGCGAGAACATTGATGTTGAGAAGGGAAGGGCAAGGGGGACCAGCCCTTTGAAGGAACAGGGAAGGAGAGGGGCAAGTTCTCAGAAGACCATGTACATAGGCCGCAGAGTGGGCAAGAACACACTGGGAAAGCGGACCATAGGTAAAGCAGCGTGTCAAAACCGCCAAACGTGAGCACAGGTCTCGAGAGATGGGGCAGGGGCAGGGCTTCATCAGGGCAGTGAGCCATGGAAGGCTCAAGGGTCAGCCAACCAGCCCTATGCAAACACGAGGAGTAAGAACCTCTCTTCACCACATGCATCAATTTTTAAAAGAGTTTGGGAAGAAAACTGAAGAGAAGAAAGAAGTGACATCTAAATATATCTTTTAAAAAGAAAGGTTTATTTTCTTACAGAAAGGAACCCAGACTTAATGAAAGCTAAAACAGTGCCTCAGCTTTAGTGCCATGCTATTAGCGCACTTTGAAACCACCGGAGGGCATTATAAAAAACAATTAAAAGTTAAAGTACAAAAACAATAATAAAATAAGAAATACAGGATGAAATACCAACTGCACAGAAAGCATTTAAAGAGGCGAAACGTTTGTTAGGTTACTGGCTTTACGCATCTAACCTACCCACCTCAGAAGGTATGTAAATTTAAGATGTTACAATGATAATTATTACTATAAAATTGACATCAAATCTGAAATTCAACTGTGGGCAATTAAATGTTGATGTCTGGCCGGGCACAGTGGCTCACGCCTGTAATCCCAGCACTCTGGGAGGCCAAGGCAAGCTTGAAGTCAGGAGTTCGAGACCAGCCCGGCCAACATGATGAAACCCCATCTCTACTAAAAATACAAAAAAATTAGCTGGGTATGCTGGCGCGCGTCTGTAGTCCCAGCTACTTAGGAGGCTGAGGCAGAAGAATCATACCAAGGTGGCAGATGTTGCATTGAGCTGAGATTGCACACTGTACTCCAGCCTGGGCAACAGAGCAATACTCTTGCTCAAATTAAATAAAAATAATAAATAAATAAATAAATAAATAATGTGATGCTCATGTGTGGTTAGATTTCTTCTATTAAATCTGAACTCAACTTCCTTATTAATTTTATTTTTATACTCATAAGTGGATACAGAATACTAGAAAGTTCAAGAGTGCCTACAGTTGAACTGGGGGTAGGTGATAAGTCTAAACATTTGCTATTTCTTTCTTCTCAAAAGAAAGAAATAGGCCTATCTCTGTGTATTGTCAGTGAGTCATCCGATTTAGGTGACTGTCAAGTTATCACAAATCATTCCACTTCTTCTGAAAGAAGAAAATTCTAAGAATCTCAGAATTATCCAAATTGAGAAAAGGCAGAAATCAACATGAGAAGAAAACAGGATGCTTTCAAGTGAGCTGTTTCAGAGCCCTGAAGCGAAGCTCTAATCAGAGAGAATGCCTCAGCTGAGGGACAGTCACAGTAAGGCAGTGCTTGAACCTGACGTCCTTAATGGGATAAGCAGCATTTTCCTATCCCAGTCACAGGGGAAGAAAAAAGTTTTCTTGTCTCAAACAAATGGGATTGGTACTAAGGAAATGTTAAGAAAATATACATTTTCTTATATTGGTATGTGATAAGAGGTTAGGGTTATACAATTTAAATCACTGTTCAAAGTCTAAGAATTTTATATACATACTGTGTTAAAATACTAATACTCGAAGCTGGAATCTAGACTTGTGCTCCAAGCATCAGTTCACCTTTTCTCTTAAAAGGTCCATGTGGAACAGCTAAAAAACTGACTCAGTGTTATCAGGGCTATCATGGTAGGACATTTCTTCAAGGACATCTGGCTAGACAATGTCTTGGCTGACTCCAGACGTGCTATTTCCTAGGGCTCATTCATTTGCAAAGCGCACTGGGGGTCAATTCTTTCATCCCTGCAGATGGTTATGTGGCTTGTGTATGAGATCAAACATGAAATTAGTTATTTTATGGTTGCAGTTGCACTGGTATAGTTAAACTTTAAAAATAAACTACAAAGAAGCCTCTGCAGCAACGATTTTAGAACATTTTCACAGAGGCTGATGTACCACAATCAGGCAAATGGCTACTCCTGAGGTCTGGAGGCTTCCAGGAAAGCACAGACCGGCTGACCACGTGTACCTGAGGCACTGACCTGAGGAAGGACCTGAAGCCAATCCCTGTTTTATGGCTCAGAGTTACTGAATTTATGGCAGATTTAAAAAATGAGGCATAGAACCTTGACAGCAGACTCCGTTTTCTCAAACTGAACATGTAATGTTTTTCAATTGCACACGACTGTGTTGAGGCACGTATGTCTTAACCTGCCTGTGCCTACTTCATCTTGGGCAAATGATTCAGTGGATGGTGGCCCAATGACCCCTTTTGGCCTGTCTTCAAGCTTGCTGTGATAATTAGGATGGGTTTATATAAAAGGGCTCTGAAAAGAGTAAACTTAATATATTATTATCATAGTAGCCCCAGTGATCACAAGTATTAATTTAACAAGTAAACATCCTTTATGTTTGTCCAGAGCATGGCTGTTTACTAGGTGCTTTAGTCTACAGCATCTCATTGTATCCTAACCCACATCATAGTGAAGACGTATTCTGCTCCTCCTTGTTTACAAACCAAGACCCTAGGTTCAGACAGATTACACATGGCTTCTTTAGGACTGCATGGAGGACTGAACTAGGCTCTGACTCCATATCAAGTGCAATAAATTATCCCTTCATATCAGTGCTGTCCAATAGATGTATAATGTTAGCCACATACATAAGTCATGTAAGAAATTTTAGATTTTCCAGTAATCACATTTTAAAAAGCTTTTTTAAAAATAAAGTAATAAAGTCAATTTTCATATGATCTATTTAATGCAATCTATCAAGTATTATTATCTCCCATGCAGTCAATATAAAAAGTGGAGATGGTTTACATTGTCTTTTTGTGCAGATGGTGCAGGTCTATACCTTTCTCTAAAGATTTCGTGTGAGGGAGAATTAGCTATAGATTAGTTTCTATTTAAATACAAATAATTGTGACAAACAGAGACCCAATCAATTAAATTTTTCTTTCTTCTTCCTTTTTTTTTTGAGATGGAATTTTGCTCTTGTTGCCCAGGCTGGAGTGCAGTGGTGCAGTCTTGGCTCACTACAACCTCCTGGGTTCAAGTGCTTCTCCTATCTCAGCCTCCTGAGTAGCTGGGATTACAGGCATGCACGACTGTGCCCAGCTAATTTTTGTATTTTTAGTAGAGATGGGGTTTCTCCATGTTGGTCAGGCTGGTCTTGAACTCCTGACCTCAGGTGATCTATCAGCCTCAGCTTCCCAAAGTGCTGGGATTACAGGTGTGAGCCATCACAACAGGCCTGATTTTATAAAAATATTTTATAAAATATTCTATAAAATAGAATTATAATTGACTTATTAAAAATAAACTTCTCTAATTCATTTAAATCATGATTTAACCATGATTTAATTTGCAAAAAATTGTTAGTAAGCATTGCTTTTCTAAATCACCTTATTACATACAAAGTAAAGTACAACAATATGATGTATTTATATTAACTTTAGAACCTTGAACTTTGGAGGAACAGAATGAGTCAAAAATTCCCCAGCCCCCAGAAGAAGATTGCCCATGAGAAGTAAAGTCAGCCCTTCATTCCCGCAGGCTCTGCATCTGTGAATTCCACCAATGGTAGAACTGGCTGGATAGAGAGTCCAAGGATACAGAAAGCAAACTTTTAGGGGCTTGAGAATGAAGGGATCTGGAAGAAACCCTCACTGAGGATACCAAGGGATGACTATAGAGAAATTCAAGGAAATGTAAAAATATTATGCAGGATCATTGTTTCTTGACAGCCTGACTCATCACTGGTTTGTAAATCTGGGCAAGTCATGACCACTTCATTCTAGTTTCCTTATCTAAGGCAGAAACTGGTAGTTCTAGATTTGCTATTCTTTTTTCTTAATAAGGTAAGATAGAAAACAGGAGCAGCCATGTGTTCTCCCAGCCTCTGTTGCTGACAGCGACAGGCACAGAATGTGTTTCAACCAATTAGACAGAGGAGAGTTGTAAGCTGTGGCTCCTGGGAAGGGACTGGCCTTTCTTCCTGACAGCAGCCAGGCCATGAGTGACCATGAGGCTAGCCTGTGTAGAAGCCAGTGTGAAGGGTCACAGGGAAGAAGGACAGAGGCAGCCCTGGGCACTGACTATATGACCAGGCTGCCAGGTCACTGTGAGAGATGGAAGTCTCTGCCTGGTGAAAGCTACTGGGATGTTTCGGCCGCTGCCTGGCCATTGTCACTGGCGCAGTCATGATGAAAAATACATCACGAAAAGAAAACAACATTCCATTGAGCACCTGTGAGATAAGTGTGAAAACCTGAGAAATCACAAAGATGATTTTCAAACCTAAAAGTCCCAGCTGAGAAGATGAAGCGTCTAGAAACAGGTCACAGCTGGCTGCCTGGCCTGTGAATGTATCTGCAGTGGTCTGTGGTGGTGGTTTTTGTTTGGTTTGTTTTGGCTTCAGAACCAGCAACAGCATCTCTTCTATCCTGCGTTTCTGAAAAGCTTAAGTTGCTGAGTAATTTAGAATTAAGCATATTCTATTTTTTTAAAAGTAATTCAAAGAAAAATAGTAAGTTATACAGGATGAAAAAGGTCAACTCCAAAAGAAACCCACTGTTTTCATTAATTGTTTAATACTTATGGTTAGTGTTAAGCAAAAATGTCTCTGAGAATAAAAACGTTAAGAACTTATATTTCTATTTACAGTTGCAACATATGAAGCATATGCTCCTTATTAATATGATAAACCATTGGTTTTAAATATATACTAATATATATAATGACTAATAATGGAAAACAATTTAAACTTACTAGAGAAGTCAGTCCTTCATTATCAACAATCCAGTCCTCCTTTTCAGCTAATCTCTTTATTTCTATATGAAAACAAGCACACAAATACTTCTTATTAAAATTATCTCACTAAATTTTATACAAATTAAAAATTTATACAGGTTATGATTTTTAATTGTTTTATGTAGGTTTGTAAAAACTTGGTGAAAGTAGGCAAGAATATAATTTTGATACACTTGAGGATTTAAGTATATATTGTTCACTGGATTATTCTAATGAGATACTAATTAAAGAAAAGATTCTACTGCAAAGTCCAATTTGGAGAATTCTAGGTTAGATTTAATGACAACTTGAGACAATGATTTATTACTTATTCAGGATTCTTCACAACACTAGACATGTACAAAATAAGCCATATAGTAATTTTTTTCCCTAAAATTTCTTATGAATAATTTGGGTAACTTTTGAATCTCATACATTTCTGATAAGGACAGTATGATTCTCACTTGGGTAAGGGAATGCCACCTGCTCAAACCTTCAGGACTGGGGCCTCAGGTTCCTAGGTGAGGAGGAGGTGATAAACTAAGAGGGAAGGGCCAACTTCTCACCTGGGTTCCATTCCCTTCCCATTTACACAATGTATCCCCCACCAATTTTGCAGGGATGTAAGCTTCCTACCCAAAAATCCTGGAAGTAGATAGTAATGGCCTGTGCCAGTTAGCCATGTTTTGGACTGTTTTTGAAAAAATTTAATAACCAAATGACTGCTTTGTAAAGAAAAGCTTTATTGTTTTTTATGATTTTATGTAGAAAATTCTGAAAAATTTATAAAGCATAAAGAAAACAAGAATCATCTATAACTTCTAGAATCCAGAGAACCAATGTTAAGAGACAAATCAATGTCCTTTGACTGGACATCGATTTCTATAAATTAAAATTTAAAACTATACATCCACATATTTTCAAAACTGAGATGAGACTTTACATACATTTTATACCCTATGTCTTCTACTTAACAACCGTCATAAGATGTTCTTGCATCTTTAAACATTTTCAAGTATATCTATCTTAGTTTCTGCATGGTCTTAATTCTCAACTAAACTGATTTGAAAATACATCACAAAAAGAAAAAAACATTCCATTGAGCAGCTAGAAGTAAGATGAACTAATATATTCAAATTTCCACAAAAGTAATTTTCTCTTATTTTCAAGGATTTGGAAACTGAAAGGAGGTGGCATATTCAGATAATCATTGTACAGTAAACGTCACCAAGTTTTCTAAACACACCTTCTGCCGTGTGCTGCAACGTGACCATTACACAACGTACTCGGAGATCCAAAATGAGATCCTGGATAGTCTGTAACAGGTCATTAGGAATTTCAAGGGCAGTCAACGATTCATGCGTAAGCCTGTGAACAAACACAGCCAAATGAAGGTGAGCAGAGTGGGATGGCAAAGCAATTCCTAGAATCCCTTTCACTGTATAATCATTCCTCATGGAGCTTACACACTACAGCATGAGGCTGAAAACAGAAACAGATCGCAACAGGGATTGTACGATAACAGTAATACTGAGTTAAACAGAGAAGATGTGTAACAGTAGAACATTCTCATCCGACATAAAACACCAGGAACGCACAGAAGCTTAGCTGTCAGATAAACAGGAAACAGTGGGGGCAAAAGGACAAAGAGAAGAAAAAGAATTCCTTCTTCACCGAATGTATTAAAAATATTCCATACTGAGTATTTTTTTTTCCAAAACTAAAAAACCGATATACCCCTTTTTCTGAGAATGTGTCCATATTCACCTGACGGTCTGGACAGCGTGAGCGAGCCACTGTCCAGAGAGCTCGCACTTCACCTCCCAGCCTCCGTACTGCTTGGCTTCTCCATCTCGGATGCTAAGGGGGAGCAGCGCTCCGCGGGTCAGCTTCACCAGCGAGTGCATTACTTCCTGAATCATTTTCTAGAAAACCAGGAACAAGCACAATGGCACTAAATGTCATTAATCAGATGACAGTAACTAAAAGATGGTGCCTGGGCAAAAATGGATGTCCTGAACACAAAATGAGAAATGAAAAACCCTCCCCTGTGAAAAAGTCTACACACTTACTATCCCTTACTCACCTTAAAATCATTTTGTCTTTGCCTTACATTCTTTGATCTTTCAATCTGGCCTGACTTCTCAGCAGTCTTAAAAATTAAAAAACAAAATAAAACATATTAGAAATAATTTATAAAAATAAGAAATGTTTTAGCACTTGTACATGAAGAGAACATTAAATATGGTTATAACTTGATTAAAAGGAATGCTTACAGCATAATCTATGTTTCAGATTAAAGAATGATTAATTAGAAAACCTTCCTTATTCCAATGAGAAGTCCCATAAATGAATCTAAGAATTAAGTTGAAACTACCAATTTTATAGGTGAATTTCATATACCATTTTCATCAACAATTTCAGTATCGTACCCAGGATAATACTGTCAACTTCATTTCTCATTAGCTAGTGAAGAAACCAAAGGAAGCCTAATCGGAAATCTGTCATTTTATTTTTAAAATGGTATAAACTGTAGCTCTTCCTTCAGAGATTTTCAGTGTGATTCAGGAGAAAATACATTCTTCCCTCTAGAATTAATTTTTGTTTACTGAGATAACTCGTTTTTTTCCCAATATTTCTCTTTATGGAATGTATGGAAAACTATATTGACTAAAAGAGAAACCTATTCAATTGGATTTCAATTAACTTTTTATTAACACATTTTCTAACTAAATATTATTATATAAAATGACCTAGAAGGACAAGCCTAGGAAACTTTCTAAATAAAGAAGCATTAGCAAAATTATACAACGTAAAATAAAATTCTGACACTTCCTTGACATAATGCAAAAGTTAACCTTTACGGTTAAAACCCTCGGGCATTATTGGTTAATGCATGACAAGTCAAGACCTTTCAAGTTAAGAACAGGTTAATGATCATGATACTGACTTTATGTTAATTTTAAAATACAAGCAATGTTATGTGCATGTATATATATTTATTTCTGTATAAGCTACAAAAACTGCATGTAGAGTTAGTTTATATAATGAACATGTCGATGTAAGTAAAATATGGGTTAGGACTGTTGGGTATTTTCAACAAAACTATCAGACACATCTGACAAAAACATAGGCAGCAGGTGCATAGACAAATATCCTTCAAACCCTAGTTTACATTCATTTTAAAATTTTATATTAAACTATGCAGCTTTTATCATTTTCTTTCTTTCTATTTCTTTTTCTTTTCTTTTTTTTGAGATGGAGTTTTACTCTTGTTGCCCAGGCTGGAGTGCAATCGTGCAACCTCAGCTCACTGCAACCTCCTCTGCCTCCCAGGTTCAAGTGATCCTCCTGTCTCAGCCTCCTGAGTAGCTGGGATTACAGGTGCCTGCCACCACACCCAGCTAGTTTTTGGTATTTTCAGTAGAGATGGGGTTTCACCATGTTGGCCAGGCTGGTCTCAAACTCCTGACCTCAGGTGATCCTCCCAACTCAGCCTCCTAAAAAGTGCTGGAATTATAGGTGTGAGCCACTGCGCCCAGCCTACCATTTTTTTCTTTTTTTTTGAGATGGTTTCGCTCTTGTTACCCAGGCTGGAGTGCAATGGCACGATCACGGCTCACCGCAACCTCCGCCTCCTGGGTTCGGGCAATTCTCCTTCCTCAGCCTCCTGAGTAGCTGGGATTACAGGCACGTGCCACCATGCCCAGCTAATTTATTTTTTTGTATTTTTAGTAGAGACGGGGTTTCCCCATGTTAACCAGGATGGTCTCGATCTCTTGACCTCGTGATCCACCTGCCTCAGCCTCCCAAAGTGCTGGGATTATGGGCGTGAGCCACCGCGCCCAGCCTCATCTTTTTTCTTTATAGAAATACATTTTTGTCTGAAAGAATTAAAGATATGTATAAAAACTAAACCTGCAATTCATCTCAATAATCATTCAAAAAGCTAACTCCTGAGTTCACTGGTCAATGACACTCAGAATTCTTAAACAGCAGGGTTTAACACATATATTGCTTTTTCCTTTATGTTTAAGACAAGTGAGAAGGAACTTAAGTGTTTTAAGCCTACAGTAAGAACGAATGAGAGAGGCCAGCGTGCAAGTATGGCCAGCCAGCAGGATACTGCGGTGGTCCAGGTGAGCACAGGCATGCTGGTGAGCCCAGGTAACTGAGACAGGCCACCTGAGGGAGAACTGGTTGCCATAGGTGCTGCAGTGAGGCAGGACACATGCCCAGAGGGACTCCCACCTAAGTTGCACCTGCTTGGGTAACACCAGTGACTGAATGTCTGCTCAGCTGCTTTCTGAAAGACTGGTGTGATGATCAGAATTAAAACACTGTTGGTGATATGGGGTATGGGCATAGAGCAAATGAATGCCCTGGTCACTGACATGACAAAGCTCTTCTCTACATGTTGCAGTTTGTTAGGTCTTAGGCTTGGGCACTTTTTTCTTTTCTGTTTATACTGTCTAGCATGTTCCTGTGGCTTCAAATATCATTTCTACCTAATGCCTTCCAAATCTCTACCTCCAGCCCAAATATCTCCTCTGTGACCCAGACGTGAATCTTGAATAACTCCCAGGAATCTCAATCTACCACATTATCAATGGAAATCTGAAACTTCCTCCAAGCACGCTGTTCCTCAGGTCTTCCTGGCTTGGCAAATGCACTCTTGTTCACTCAGGAGCCCACTGGGAGCAACACTGGAATCCTTCTCTTCTCTCCCTCACCTTAACACCACTTCCAAAACACAACCAAACCTACCAACTGCTCTCCAACTCCACTGATGAAGCCTTCATCCAAACCACCAGTTTCCTGCCTCTCCCCCACATTTGTCCCCATCAAGTCATCGCGCACACACAACCAAGGTGTGTTTTTAAAACTGGAAAGCTGGTCTGTTCCCCGCCCTATGGCCTGGGATGAAGCTGCTGCTAGCTGGGCCTGTCCCTCCCAACCCTCCCACTGCTCAGAAACGCTTCTGCCCATCGGGGCTTCCTTCCTTTCAGATATGCCAGCTGCCCTCCTGGTGCTGTGGGCATCCTTCTCGCTGCCTGGGGCCTGCTTCCCCCTATCCTGTGTGGTTGTGTCCTTATCCTGTGCCACGTGTCAGTTTCGGTATCACCTCCAGGGAGAGGCCTTCCCTGACTTCCATCCCACTGCTGATATTCTACCTTACAACCCTATTTGTTTCTTGTATAGCTCTTACCAGAATTTTTAAAATACTAATTTAAAAAATTATTTTGGTTCTGTCTCTAGAAGAGGAAAGGTCATGCTTATTTTGGTCACTGTTTTATTTATATTGTAGATATGTGTGTAAATTTGTGCATATGTCTACATATTGAGTATGCACACATGCGTTTATATGCATGTTATATGTTACATTTCCATATATGTATACATATGTGTACATGGTATAGTGTGTCTGTTGTGTGTGCATACATATGTGTGTGCATATATTATGTGTGCATGTATGCATGTGGGTCTCAGTACCTGGTACCTGGTGAATAAATGATCGCCTAGGGTTAGGGTTCTCCCAGACCTTCTTGAATATACTTAAGAAAGGGTAACTGCCCTGAATACTCTGGGTCCTGACATGAGAGTGGCCCTGGGAGGCAGATCTGCCAGGCGTAACCCTATGAAATGCTTCTTTCAAACCTAACAGGCTCAATTCTTCTCCTGGAGATGTAAGGTGTCCAGCACCCTGTGGCTCAGCAAACATGACACAATATTAACCATGACGAATTCCTTAACAAAGACTTAGCTCCTGACATTCTAGTAGGTGTTAGGCTCTGCAGCAGTCTCTGAATTCATCAAGCAGAGCAGTCCTCTCAACCCCCAACCTTCACACAAAGCTCTCCAACCTCTGCTTATCCTGTTTGCTGACACCTACTAGAATGTCAGGGCAACACATCGTGCAGAGCCTTGGGGCCTGTCAGTTTCCATAATGACATGAAGGCCACCCCTTACAATAAATCTCTTCATGTTTGTGTGTGTGACTGCAGGTATAGGCATACACATCCCCTATTGGTTCCGTTGCCCCCGAGCACCCTGACTCATGCAGACTTGCTCCAACGTGCTCCGGAGGGAGGCACATGCCAGTATAAAAATGCAAGTGTCTGAGTGTCAAAGGGCATCTCCTCTGCTTGTACCCTCCACAGTACCTGATGCCAAACTTTGCACATAGTAGGACTGTGCAATGGGAAGATTATTTCATAGTCATTTGTTCTATTACATATTTTTAATTCAAAGAAAAGAGTGAGAATCGGTTGTTAAACAATATACAAAAATTCAGGCTAAATTCTGCCAGAACAATTTTGCCCAAACACGTATTCATGAGTGGATGATGAAACCTACTGGAGGGTAATTTTGTAAAATCCAGAACTTTTCTCCAAATATATGAAAAGTAGAGGGCGAGGGGGTTAGTTGTGGGGCAGACCCCTTTCAGTTGTTACTTATTTTTTTTAATTTAATAAAGAGCTAATTATCTCCAATATAATCGATTATGTAAAGTTTACCCTGTTTTTAAAAGAAAATCTTATTTTGGAATGTGTGATGCATTTTAATTATATACTATGGAGTTATGTAACTTTTTAAAATGCTGACTTAATATTTAACAAGTATTTGAATGTTTTAAAGATTTTTATCTAAAAATACACTATATTTAAAATATATCTAAAGGTGAGATCTTAACCTACTATTAACCATTTAGTTAACTAGAAACCTTAACTCTTTCCTGCACACACAGACCAAAACTACTTTGTGGTGAGAGTAACGGCTGGATTTCACTGTTTTAATTCACATTTGTTACTTCACATGGCCTTCACTGGTTTGAAGAACTGACTATTTTTTAAACTGTTGGAAACTTCATCTAAATTTTTAACGGATGGGCTCTTAATATGAGATAGTTTTATAAAAAGAAGAATAAAAAAACTCATGTAAATTGTGTTTAAAAAGTATCCAGCTTTCTTGCATGAGATTAAATAGCTATCAAAAGCCCCAGAACTCTTCCCAATATTAATTGAATCCAGCGTCTGGATTTCACTTGCAGACAGGCAAAGGGAGCATGTACCCCTAGCTCCTTTGCTCCTTCCTACAGCCCTGCGCTTTCCTCTAGCTCTTCAGAAGAGGGCACATGGTTTCAAAACATGCCCAAATCTGCAGAGAAAATGACATGTAATTAATAATTATTGCTATAAACTTCTAAGTTTATAAACATAAATAGGTAGAAATATCATAGGCACATCTAATTCAGCACAACCAATTAAGAGTCATTTCTTCATTTCAACATTAATGTTCGTGAGTTCTGAAGTAGATCATTTATTTTTCATCTACAACCAACTATTTCATTTATATGTTTGGTATATAATTATGTATAACCTATAAAAAAGCAAAACATGCTCCCTGTTCTCTAAAATATCCTAGAACAAAAATTCTTCAGAATTTTATATCTTGAAAAGACTCTACGGAAGACTACTGTCCATGTGTGGTGGGCTACCTGTGGGAATTGATACAAATGAGGGACATTTGATTCCACGTGGCTGGAAACAAACACTGTGGTTTAAAACCCATGTTCTGAAAGACTAATTCTTTAGATGAGTTGATTCATCTTGACATTATTCAATTCTATTCCAGCAGTTCATCAGTCTACTGTTTTCTAATGTTACAAAATTTTGTTCACTGAGCACCTATTGAGTGCCAGGCAGATGAGATTTCAAATAGCGGAAATACTGAAATAAATTTCATTCCAAATAATAAGAGGAAACTCTTACTTATCTGTCAGACATTATTATAAGCACTTAAATTATACTAACTCATTGAATTCTCAAACCAGCCTATAAAAGTAGGTGCAGAGAAGTAATCTGCCTAAGACCACAGCTAGTAAGTGATAGGCATTGGATGTTTCCATTATGCTCCTAGTGTTCTGTGTGAAAACCTATGAATGCTGCTTGTGCAAAGGCATGACAGGGAAGCATCTCATCTTTCCTGCCCACACAAACAATTTGGTTTAGTAACAGAGCAGACATGGAGAGGAAGCTGGTGCCCTCAGTGCCACTACTGTCATTGTGTAGAGGGCAGAGACACAAACTGATGGTGACACAAACAAAAGCAGAGTATTGGAAAAACTTATCAGGACAAAACTGAAATGAAAGTATTCTCTTCCTAAGCCAGCAATAAGCAACTCTCATGTATGCAGACCTGTGAAACCTGACGTTCATTTTATGGAAGAACTTCTCTGTATAGCTAACTTTTCAACAGAGTTCATGCATAACTAACAAAGAAAAGAAAGTTATGTATTGCTTTAATATTTGAATGTTAACTTTATAGAATCCACAAAGTAACTGAATACTGAAATTAAAGGAAAAAATGCATTGATGTCTTGCTTACAAGATTAGTTTTCCTGCACTAAGGAGTTTGTGTTCGTGCATTACACATTCCTGCTTTTGGTAAATTTCATGAATTAGAAAACCAACCATTCATATCAACAAGGCTGCAGGAATCCAGCGGGTTTACAACAGAAATAGTAGGCACTTGGAGTTCAAATATACAAAGAAAAACGTTGCAGAGCACATCTCTATTTCCCTAATATCAGCCTGAATTTATGTCCATGGTTAAATGAGACTCCAAAGACACCCAAGGCACTCTGTCACTTAACCACTTTCTGCCAAGGAGGAGAGGTCTTAAACCACAAAGGTTGTGCCTTTGTGCAAAAAACCAAAAAACGGTTTTAGCCTTTGTCCACGTCCACTTTGTGTGCTGCCAATTCAAATAGAAGCAGAAAGGAGCCTTTACCCTCAGAAGACACCTATCTCCCCTAGAGCTCTTGGTGTAGAGAGCTCTCCTGCAGAGATACAGAACAGAACTGTCTTCTGAGTCTTCCAGGTAGGATGCCTGGGGCAACCCGGGACAAATGACATTGGAATCTATATCCAGAAGCTGGAGACCTTTCATGGCACACTTGAAGTGAGGTTAGAAAGTAACAAATGAGGCTGGCTTCCATGTGCCTCACACAACAGTAAGAGTCATTCCTTTATGTTAATGCATTCGAAGCTACAATCATATTATGACAATACTAAGCATTAATAAATGTGTGACTACAGAAGACGGACGATAGGCTTATAAAAACTTCGATAGGCTGATAATAATGGGGCTAGATTGCAGAATCTTTAAATTCTTTCCAAAGGAAACTGCATATTCCATGGATTACTTTGTTCTGGGTGCAGGCTGCTGAGGTGTTATCTTCGTTTCATCATTGATTCACAGTCCACTGCACATCACCCAGAATTTGGCCTGACTGGCATTATCTCAATTTGGAGTCCTTGAAAATAGTTCAAGCTTTCTTTTTTCTTTAATTCCCTATCTCATTGAATCCCTACAACTACTTAAGATAGATGCTGAGACTATTCTCCTTTTGCACGTGAGGAGAAGTGACTAGTTCGAGGTCAGATAGCTACTAAGTGAGAGGGCTTTATAACACTTTAATCTTAAACTATGATGACGGTTATAGACGTTAGGCCTCTACATTAAAAAAAAAAAATCACTTAAATCTAACATTTAAGACCAGAAATGCACAGTGACTCAGCTCCACCTCTAGGTGGGTCCATATACACACCTCACTGAAGAGGCTTCCATTAACGTAGGAGATCCAGAGCTTCCAGAAGTTAGGCAGCTGGCTTAAGACAAGCTTGGTCAATTTTTCAACAAAGGCCACTCTGTGGGGAGTTTTATATCTCCACGCTAAGAGGGAAAAGAAGAAAATGCCATGATTATACTTTTGAATCAAGAATATATCTTTGAGCATATTGCTATACCCTCCATGCACCTCCCCAAACTCAAACATGCATTAGCAATAGCCTGAGTCTGTGTGGAAGCTTCTGGCTCACTTAGCTGACATCGGCAGTGGTATGCTCAGCCAGACACCCCACTTTTCTCCTTGCCAGAGGGCAAGGAAGACATCACAGCTGACCAGCAGGCCAGGGTGAGGGACCAGGTGGCCACACCTCAGCACTGGGAGGGCTACCTAGAGGAAGTGGCTTTGACTTGTCAGGCTTGTCCTCTGGATAGTATATGTCTCTTCCAAAAGTCATGCCTTCCAACAGCAAAGGTAGGCAAAGGCAAGGGCTGCTCTACAGCCAGTCATGAAACTCCAGCTACTATCAGCCTGTGAGAAATGCTGTCATACACCCTAGGAGGTGAGAAAGTCAGAAGGAATCCAGTTGTCATAAGGAAACATTCAAGCGCAATCACATACTAAATAACCCCACCTATAATACAGAAATTTAAGAAAAAAATAGAAATGCTGAAACCTCTTTTGTTATACATTATTTAACACAGTTACTGCAGTGACTGGGAAATAAGGGCTTAGACTTCTTGTGAGAAGAATAGGTTCATGGGAATAAAGCAAGTGTAGAGCTTCAGGACCCACTCACCATCTCCTCTGTCCTGCCTCTTTTTTGTTATATCCCTGGGGCCATGCCTTCGCCCTGTTCCCTCCTGCCTGCTTCCTGCCGCGCACTCCCCTAGGTGGCCGCAGCAGGGGCACTACAGAGTCCACCCTGCCCAGTCCACAACACAGCCATGTTGCGGATCAGGCTCTAACTCCTACTCAGCAACTTTAGGAGCAGGTCAGCCTTCCATAAGAACTTTCACTCCCTCAGCCAGGCAAACCGCTAGCTTCCTTTCCAAACACCCCCAGGCAAAAGGATTTGCTGTTGTTATTCCAGTGGAGGGGCAAATTTTATAAACTGTATTAATAAAATTTAAAATAATTTTATTAATAAATGATTTAATAATTTAAATAGTAATCTGACCAGGTAAAACATGGTTAGAAAATAACATGTGAAAGGTACACAGTGAAAAGTCTACCTCTGCCCTGCTACTCCATGAGCCTAGTTCCCAGCTGGAAGAAACCACTGTCACTAGTTTCTCGTGACTCTTCCTGAAACTTTTTAAATTTACAAGCAAATATAAATGTGTTTTTCCCCCCTTTCAACTGTTCTTTACATATTTTTGGTTTTTATACAAATGAAAGCATACCCAAACACACTCTTTTGAAGCTTGACTTTTTCCATTTAGCAGTGGATCCTGGAGTTCTTCCATATTCAAACATAAGGCGCTTCTTCTTTTTCTCCCCACAGTCACATGGCCTTTCACATTTTGGATGTATCGTAATTTAATAAGTTCCCTTCCAATGGACAAGACTATCTTTGGTCTTTCACAATTAAAATGTTTCAACCAGCAACTGTATACCTGTATCATTTAGCATATGCTCAAGTGTAAGCACAGAATAAACTTCCAGAACAAGAATTGCTGGGACAAAGAGCACATGTCGTTGTAATTTTGATAGATTTATGGGATTGCCCCTTTAAAAAGGGGTTATTTACACTAGTTTTACCAATTACATGTGCAAATTACATGGCCTTATCAATCAACTAATATAGAAAACCCAAAACAAAATGATCAACACCAAGCGTTTTTGCCAACCTCATATCTCACTGTAGTGTTATACTACCTCTCTTTTTCTTATTGTGAGGTTAGTGTATATTCACACGTGTATGAACCACCTGTATGAACCACCGAGACTTCCTCTATGTAGCCTGTAGAGCCTCTTTTTTAATTAGGCATATTAGCCCTTTGTCTATGCTAGAAGTTGCAGAAAAAGTTTTAAATTCATTTTCACAGGTGTGAAAGGAATGGTTCTTAATGGTTCCACTGTAAACTTTGATTTGTTCATTCAGTTAATATTTATTGAGGATCAACCATGTGCTTATCATGCAGCTCCACATGATCAAAACTCACTCAAAATGCTGAACAAGGCAGACTCTGCCTTTACAGCTTAGAATCCAACAGAACAACAGTCAATTAACGAGGTGAATACATCATGATGATATTCTGAGGTTGGTGGGTTTCACCTGGAGACAGCAGTTACAGACTCTTCTTTCCAACAGTAATTGATAATGCCTGTTTTCCAGATGGCAGGGCGCAGGCCACAGCCAGCTGTGTCGAGGGTCCATTGACAAAGTGAAAAACAGGACAAGAAAATCTAAAACGGGAAGCACTGAAACTTTGCCTTTGACTGATTCGGATGTTTTGTCCCCAGCAAATCTCATGTTGAAATGTGATCCCCAATGTTGGAGTAGGGTTATGGGGGCAGGTCCCTCATGAATGGCTTGGTGTCCTCCTTGCAATAATGACTGAGTTCTTGCTCTATTAGTTCACACAAGATCCAGCTGTTTCACCCATTTCCCATTTGCCCCAAGAACACTGTTGACTCTAATCCTAATGGAACACCATACACATTTCTATTACATTAGGATTAGAGACGAGTTCTATTTAGAAATAATTCCGAGAACAGTTTTTTTGTTATGTTTTTTTTTTTGAGTAGGAATCTCGCTCTGTCACCAGGCTGAAGTGCAGTGGCATGATCTCAGCTCACTGTAAGTCCATCTCCGGGTTCAAGAAACTCTCCTGCCTCAGCCTCCCAAGTAGCTGGGAATACAGATGCACGCCACCATGCCCAGCTAATTTTTTGTATTTTTAGTAGACACAGGGTTTCGCCATGTTGGCCAGGATAGTCTCGATCTCTTGACCTTGTGATCTGCCTGCCTTGGCCTCCCAAAGTGCTGGGATTACAGGCTTGAGCCATTGTACCTGGCCCTAAGAACAGATTTTATACTTTGTTTTCACGCTGAAAATCAGTGAGATTTACTTCAGCCTCAAAGAGCATGTTTATGTAAAATTAAGTGAGTGCTGGCAGTGAGCTGCACTTTCTTTTCCCTAAATGGAAAATGGGTTAAAAGAACCTGGTATCTCCATCCTCTCCCTTACTCCCTCTCTCTCCTGCCATGTGACACTCTGGCTCCCCTTTTGCCTTGTGCCATGATTGGAAGCTTCCTGAGGCCTCCTAGAAGCAGATGCCGGCACCATGCTCCCCGTCCAGCCTACAGAACTGTGAGCCAATAAACCTCTTTTCTTTATAAGTTACCCAGCCTCGGTGTTCCTTTATAGCAACAAAAACAGCTAACACAGCTTTATATGGCAGCAAATGGATTCTTACACAGTATCTTTCTCAGAATAATGTTTCAAAAGATCTCAACTCCTCTGTGCAATTACATTGAACATTATACAATGTTAGATGCCACCCCATAAATTTGTAGGAGCAAATGGTACTCATATAACATTGTTTATTCTATCATTTGGTGAGCTGGGAGAGGAATGGGAATTGGACAAAAAGGAGTACCAACAGAATGGAAGCCCTTCATTTAGTACAAATGAATCATCTAATTTTAAGGTGCTCTTATGATGAACATTCATTTATAATAATAAAACCTTAGAAAATTTCCATACTTCAATGCTTGTGAGAATAATGTAAAACATTTTAAAACAATGTTTCAAATATCTGATTTTCATACAAGGTAAGGCATTTCCATTACTCTATTTAAGTTTCTTAAATCTGTTATTGATATTGCAAATGGCTCATGACTAGTGGCATCTAATTTGATGCATGAAGCATGATAGTCGATCATATTGTATCTCAAATAGGGAAACAGTTCCAGAAAGTTCAGAAATGCAATATACTTAAAATTTTAGATGCTTCATCTCAGGAAAAAGTATTAGTAATTATTTTATGTTTAATTAACAACCAATTCCTCTTTCCAAACCAAAGTGAAATTTCATCAAAAAAGATATGCTGATAGAAATTACTTTTGTTGCAAATTCCATCTTAATGAAGTTCTCACAGAATTTCTTTCTGTGGCACTTTAAAAAAAATTCAACCACAGAAAAAGTAAAACCAGACTTGAAGTAAATATGTTGAATAAACACTGACCTGCACCCAATGACTTAATTAAAATCAAACAGCATTTCTTTAAATGTCATATATATTTTAATTATTAAATTACTGGGTAGTTACTGTTACAAGCAAAAAAGATGATGGCTGATAATACTTAGAAACAACACAAATTGGGGAATTTTCCAAGAGAAGAATGTTTGAAATTACACAAGTACAAATTTAAAAGACCCAGTGGCAGTGGAGAGAGATACTTACTGTCGTCTCGACCAGACTGAAAGCTGCTGCCTCTCTTCAGAGACGCTGTCTGACTGAGATGGCCCAACACAGAGGGACGGGTATCATTATCGAGATCCAACATGGGACTGTGCAGGCCTGGGCTACCTGGGAAAGAAAGGAGAGATTTCCGTATGCTCTACATGCTCTTCCTTAGTTGATTTAATGAGCTGCTCCTCTGAGGCTATTTCTTGCTCAACTGCTGCACTCTTAAATATAAAATAAAAACTATATTCTCTAAATAGACTTTAAAAGTCATTCCCAGCTCAGAAAAACTGTGGGGTGGTAGGAAGATGATGCTATAAACACAAAAATTAGCAAGAAAAATCATATTTTGCAAAACAACTTTTGGCACTAGAAAAAATCATGGAATTTGAACTCTTCTGTTTCTTTAAATGCAGCCAACTTACACATTTTTGCAGCATAAATCTTCTGTGACTTCTCTCTTAATACCACACTTTACATTTTAAATCCCCAAACCCACCATTTGTTTCTTGGACACGTGGGATTTCACTCCCTACTGCTATTCTTGATGCCAAGTCACCTAGTGTTATTCCTTTTCACCTCACCCTTCATATTTCAGAAGTCAGAACATTCTACTACTGTTAAGAAATTGTCTCACACTCAAATACTGCTTTTTCAATTCTCTTCTCAGAAGTTTTCCAGAGAACCCGCAGGATAAAGTCTATCTCAATGTTTTCCAACCCAAATTATCTTGAGAATTAGGAAACAATTTCTCTAAAACAGATTGCAAAAGCCATTCGGAATAAAATTCCATGTTGCCAAACAAGTTAGTAAGACATTGACGTGATGTGGTAAAATTTGCTTGTTAGTCTATAAATACCACTCTAAGCTCTTTAGCTGAGTATTAAAAACCTTCAAAATAAACTCAATTCATTGTGCATTTACAGAGTATTTATAGTACTGTGCATAGGACACTTAAATATTCTCCCTACAAAAAGGCACCTTACATTTTCCTGTCTTCTTTGCTATACTCTCTACCTGAAGGCCTCATTCATTATTTCTCTTCATCCATTTAAACCCACATCCTGAAGATGCAACTTGAAATAAAGCTATTACACAAAGCCACCTCTATGCACTTATCTACCTAAAGTGCTTCCTTTTCTGCCCTCTGACAGCAGTGAGAATGTATATAATTTAATTGACTTCACATTCTACTGTCCGGAGTTTACTAACAGCTACGTATTGCCCATCGCCACCAAAGACTGATATCTTCTCAGGGATAAGAACTAAATATATCCCCATATTCCCCACAGTCACTGAACTTTTCAGAAATAACTCCTGCCCACATGTAGTAAGTGACTGACACTAAAAAATACATTTTTTATTTTATAACTTAATAAAATATTAAAAGCCTATGGATTTGTTTTCAGGTGCTAAGATAAAACACATTTATAAATTAAAGAAATATGTTGGTGCCTCTGATAATGCAAGCTATTCAATAACACTTAACAAGTATTTATTGAGCACCTTCCACATGCGAAAAATTTCAGACCTTGGGGATAAAGTGATGAATCATATCTAAGGCCTTGGTCTCAAGGTGTTTACGCTCTGGTGATGGAAGCAGAAAATAAACCAATAGCTAAATAAACAATAAAAATATAGTAAAAAAAAGCGCTAAGCAGAGGAGGTAAACAGAGATTGTGTGGTGAGAGAAGGCCTGATCTCAGGGCCCTCCTATCGCATGCCGCTGGACATGACACACTATCATCTATCTCCCTGCATCCCCACACATTCTACCTGGTCGGTCTTATAGAAATAGAAATTAAATCATTTGAACAAATTTCTTAGTGCCATACAAATTTTTCTGAAGACTTACAATGTTTTGGCCACTGTGCTAAATAAATGCTGTGCATACATTTTTACTTTGGAATATATTACAGCTAAGATGAGAAGGCTTATATAATCCACTACGTTACTAGAAATATGTGATACAGAGTAAAAAAATACAGTGAAGAATTTTTTTTCTAATTGACTTTTTTCATATAAAATACATTTGTGTGTCGAGGTTTTAGTGATTTATGACATTTTCCTTTGAAATTTATACACCTGTCACTTCTATCAATTGTGGAATTCAGGAAATAAATACCAAAATATGAATTTTCTAGCATACTTTAAAGAAGAAAATAAAGAGGCCCAAACGTAGCAACACATTAAAAATACATATACAAATTTATAATTTATATTAAAATGTACATTTTAAAAGTATAATAAGAGAATGCTTTAAAAGGTTAAATTTCACTTACTCTTGAAGGTTTCAGGACTATGAATTTATGATTAAGAAGAAAAACACCTCCTAGTTTCCTGAAAATACACTATATACCATTCCCGCAAATAATACAATTATTTCAGAAAAAGTTTTCTCCCCAAAGCTGATATTTTTATAACTTTAAGTTAATATTAAACCATTTTGACATCTTGACTTTTGTAATGTTTAAAAAATTGACTTATCTTTTCCTTTAATAACAGAAACTGTATTAATATGCTTTTGTTCTATTAGAAACCACATTATCACTTTTCTATATCAGGAAAAGAAAGGTAAACATGAGCTAATTTTCTAATTGGTACCCTGGCATTACCAGAAGCAAACACAGCAGCAGTGAGCTAGAACAGCACATGCCAGTCAGGACTAATCAGCATCTGGAATACATTTGGAAGGTGTGTTTTTGCTGAGTGACCAGAAGGTAGCGCTTTATAGCTGCACATGCTGTGTGCATTAGCCCTGCAAACTAAACAGTGGGTACTGGCTTAGAAATGTATTTCTCTCCCTAACACTTGTACTTTTCTTACTGTAAAAAAATCATCTTAGCATGAGTTGTTTTACAGAGAATTAGAAAGCTTATGCTTTGAAAAGTAATATAAACATTTTAAATATCAGTTGTCACAAATTATTTATGACCAAGTGTCAAAAATTTTTTTAAAAAACCTTGAGAATTCTGACACTCCTTTTAAATTACATGACTTAATATTTCTAACTCACAAAATTTTTACAAGTATGAACTGGTTTCATAAGTAAGCATTTCTATAAAGAAGAAGAAAAAAAGTTTCTACAAAATATAAAATCAGCAAAAGGCTTTAAATACTTCATGTATCAGCCTATTTTATCTTGTTTCACCTTACAATATTTTAGCAATATCTCATTAAGAAAACTATGCACATTACATAAAGCCTATGTTGGCCGGGTGCAGCTTTTAACATCCCATAACAACATAAAATTGTGTTTAATTCCGTCCTTTTTAAACTAATGCTGCATTCATGAGTTTTGAGAGGTTGCTTGTTTTCCTGGCAGTAAATTTTCTCTAGAAATGAACTATTCCTAGAATTTTTTTTTCTGGATGAAAATGTTTAAAAAGCCTTTTGTCAAGTAGGAAGTTATTACCTTTAGCCCTGATTAAAAGGTTTTCATTTGGGCCAATACTAACGAATTGTTCCCTATGTGTGAAATTGAGGCAGGGAGTAATTTTATTAAGACTTTTCATGGTCATGCAGTTGGTATGGGGTTCTGTGGCAGCTCACGGAGCCACTGACCTATCCTGCAAAATATACCTGTAAAAATTAGGGCTTTGTACTCTGCAATTTTAAGTCTTTTTAGCTATACAATTCTGACTCTGGTTCAAAGTTTAAATTAGAAACTTTAAATCACCACTGAGAACACCACAGAAAAGACACTTACTCTGATTACTATTCCTACAATTTAGGAGATTGATCAGTGGTGGTGTCTTTTTAAATGTATAAAGTTTGCCTCTACACATAGAGCAAATGTGGAAATTATGTCTTAAAATGGAAATTACATCACAAAAACATTAAACACAATAAAAAAGTAACAGTGAAAACTATATCAGAATTTTATGATATTTGTTATGGACTTTAGCCTGGCTATTATAAAGATAGTAAGCCCACTAATAAACACACTCAAATGAATGAGTGCTTGTAAGATCAAAAGCATTTGGTTGTAATCTCTCAAAGTTACCTGAGGAATAACTATAGATTACTCTGAATACAAAATTGCAAACAGGCACATGACCCTATAGCATGAGAAATCATCAATGTAGTATTTCTTTATTTCTAATTATAAAATTCTATGTAATGTTTGTAGGAAAAATGATACAAAATAAAATTATGGAAATAAATATTCTTAGCATCTAGCTATATCTTTTAACTTCCCCACACTAGTATCTGAGTTATCATTTTGTCAATATATCAAAGGAAAAATACATGTTATCATGAATGCTTGGAAGAAGTATCTTGGAAGAAAAAAATCCTTTAATCACTTAACATTAAAAAAGAGGCACAACTAAGTTTTTAACTACTGGAAGTCAAAAGTTAGTATTTTATTTTTCCAGTTAAATAAAGCTTCTATAACATATGCTTGCAACATCCTCAAAATTCTTTTTCCAATTTTAAGTATGCAGATATGTCTAACAAATTATAAGCAAATAAAATTAGAAAAAATACCTTTGGAAATTTTATTTCAACAAGAGAAAAACAGTTGGAAAATTTGTTTTCAGAAGTTACAGAAATTATTTTCTTCAGAACACTAATGAAAGAATCCTAGGAACTGCACTAGAAGTGTAGAAATAATCAAAAATTTAAAATGTATTATTTTTCTAAAAGAAAATAATCTTTGACAATTTACCATGAACAAATTGAAACATCTGATTTTTTTCCCCAACAATTGTGAAATTTATACTATACAAAAACTTCAGCTTCATCTTGAACTATCAGTCTGGAAAAATCTTCCAGACAGCTAAAAAAACTTAAAGGTTTAACAACTCCAAATCCTACAACACTTCAAAAAACGGATAAGGACTTTAAGAAGACTCTATAGAAAATGCTTATTATACCTAGAATTCTGTACAACTTCCAGGAAACCTTATCAGTTAAATACTTTCCACTCAAAGCTGTGTAAGTCTTTCTGATTTTAAATAGTTTGTTTTTTTTTTAACAGACTCTATACAACATAAAGGGCAGAAGAGACCCTTTTTAAGGGAAGCCTGCAGATGCAGAGCCAGGTGAGTGAGATTACTGTGTTTTATCATCCTTCATGCCTTCTATATCAAGTTTTCTCACAGTCTACAATAGTGTGG